TGTACAACGTAACCAAGATTATATCCTATATTGAATTAAAAGTAATCTGAAATATATTTTCGCAGGATTGCGAGAAGTTCGTCGGAGTGGAATGCGTCACCGTGCTGGACGGTTACTTTGTCGAAGTGGTATTCTGCACGGTGTCCGGCGTGGCGTGGTATCTGGCCTTGAAAAAAATCATCGAAAACTTACAGTCCAGGGAAAAGAGCGATTGGCAAGTGAACGACGTTGGGCTGATCCAAGGCGTGTCTCAGGAATGACGATCGTTTGCTTGAATATTCATCCTGTCTATTTGTACAACCACTAGAACCGATCCGTCAAACGCCGAATCATTTTAAATTGTTTTAAATCTTTTTTCCCTCAAAACTTTTCTCAAACYACTAACTGGCCTTATAACCAGCGATTTCGACAGGTAGATATATAGTAATTGGTAGRTAGGTAGTATAGATACCAAGCGTTCAAGCTTTATAGGTCAAATACCTATAGGTATGTATATTATATTCATCCTAAATTATATACAAAACTTAAACTATAAATAGTATACCTATAGTAGGTACCTACCAATATAACCTTATTATGTGTGTACCGTGTGTTATATTTTAATTATACAAATTGCCGGGTATGAATAAGATATTTTAAATGAAAAAAAAAATAAATACAATTAATAATACCTATACCTATACCTGTCTATACTTATATAATAATATTGTACTCGGAGCCCTTATATTATTACCTAGTTGTCTAGTCTACAAGCAATGGACTACTACAYAAATAATACTTAAATTCTAGTGATAACGTAATCCATATTTGTAGATGTTATTTTTCCATCAATAAAATAATTTCATTACATGTTTAAGAGGATCCTACAACCGCATGACGTTTTGTCTGCATCTTACACATGTACATCTTGGCAACAAAGTTTTGCGCGGGATTGAAACACTCAGGCTGTATAGTGATTGTTATTAGAGACTCCAAAACGACATAAAATAAAGTTGAGAACATTATTGGCGAAATAACGTTTTTATTTTCTTGACATCACTTGGGTACCTAGGTATARGTACTCGAAAAAAGTTCATACATTTTAAAACCCATTATTTTTGTGTTTTTCAAATTTGAATAACTGTTTTTTGTAGTTACGATATTGAAAAAATTAAAAAGATATTTCACAGACAGTTCTACATTTTATGAAGTGAAAATGTCGTTTCTTAGTTATGATTGCAGCCTTCTTAGTCCTTTTCCACACAAAATAGTTTTTGCCATGTTTTACACTTRCAAGTCAGAGGACTCTAAACTATCTCTATCGAATAAACTAACCATTATATAAGTCAATAATTCGACCACTATTTGGCAGTATGGACTATGGACATACGGTAWTCAGTAGGTAATGGGGTTCTGCAAAATCATCAAATACCAAAACGCTTCAAKCGTTTCAATCCATTTGCTTACGACTATAATGACGTCTCCTCCCTGGTATTTCACAAATTATAATCTTAAAAATGTCTACCTACCCTTAATCAATTAGCAAAATTATATTTCTTTAAATTTCATTCAAAATTAAACTTTCACAGTAATCCATTGATCAAATAACTATTCTTCAACTCATTTCTCAGTAGTTTACGCAGAAAATTCGTAAGACAGCTAGTGATCTAAAGACCTATTCAAAAAAAATTTTTTTTTTTAAACATTTATTAGAAAATACACAATCTGTAATAATATTTACAATATAAGCATTTAAACTGAAATTACGATGGTTATGAGTGCGTGAGATGAGTAGCAGTAACACTCGACATAAAAAAAAATAAAAACTATTGTTTATATAATATATTACCTAACCTAAAAAGTACCTACCTGGTCGGGTGGCACTGCTGTGCCTGTCAATAAATAATTGATTCTTGCATCAAATTCACTTATTATACTAGTTATATTGTATAGGTTGTACATAAATGGTGTTGTGATCTTTTGGCACCTAATATTAATTGAAAAAAAAAAGAACGGAAAATATAAAAAAATAAAAATAATGAAATATAGCAAATGGAAGTGTTACTAATGGGTGGCTGCTTTCCCAAAAAATGTCACGTTTTATGTATAAATGTTATTAAGGATGTGATGTATTTTTTTAATAAATTGTATATAACTAACCTGTTTCACAACTACTTGCTGTGCCAAATGGGTATAGATTGTAGATTGCATTTAAAAAAAAAAGAAAAGAAAAGAAAAAAAGACTGTAAATAAAATGTYTAGAATTAGTCAAAGAAAATATATTTGAGTGTAGCGTCTYTTGTTAAGAGCACGTTGCTTAAGACGTTTGTGCATGTGTTGACTTTTTCATACACGCGAACGACATGGCAATTTTTTGTTAGTTTTGAGCAAAAGGTTCCCAATAACTACTGCCAACGAGATTTCTTATATTCATCAACAGGGCCTGGATCTCAATGCAAAGTATATTTTTTTTGATTGTTCTAAGAAAATACAATTCAAGTTCGTAATTTGTTTCATCTAAATCTAAAAGATATTTCAAAGGTGAAACTTTAATTTTGCAGTTTTGCATTTTCTTTTTTTTTAATTATCAGGTAGGTTTAGTGCATATTTTAGTACATTGTACGAGATTCAATGTGAATTTAAAAAATATAAATATTGTTTTCATAATATTTGCTCTAAAAGCTTTTGGTTAGATATTTTTCATTTGGATCAAATAACAATTGTTTTATACTATTTTATAAATTAATGTAATAGTGTTTAGATTTATATTGTGATTATCGGATGTGTTTAACTAACCGAAACTTAAACCAATAACATCTGKAATACAATGGGATCACATTTATTTCAAGTATACTAACTGAWTTTTTATTGTGCGTGTCTAAGTTTGGTGTTTTGTTTTTGTAATATTGTTAACTTAATTAAAATGTTGAATTAAAGATAAACCACTGTTTTCCTATCACTCGTATTGTTAAGTTTTAGGCATTAAAAAAATAATTTTAAAGACATTACTGCATTGAAAAATGAAAAGGTATTTATGATTATTTTTTTACAGCATTTGTTGATAATATTTTATGAGACATGTTTGAGAACAAATCAACAAATCATGGCCGATCTAAATCATGTAAGTAACACAAAAATTAAATTTCAGAATTCAAATAAAATCAMCATATTACACCAGGAGTATTATTGTAAATCATGATTGATTTTCTGAATCAAATTTATAAATATAAAAATAAAATTTAAAATGTCATAATATTTTTTTTTTAAACACCAACCACAATTAAAAGTTCAATATATATTTTCTTTAATTATCATTTATAAATATGAATGTTTATATTATATAAATATATAATAAATTATAACCTGTAATACAATACAATAATAAAAATAAAAATAATAATGATGATAATAATATATTATTATAAATATATAAGGTAGGTATCGTCATACAAAATACAATGAGCTTGTAAAAACRTATTAAAAATAACTATTAATAAACCAAGATGATTGATATAGGTATTATTACAAAAATAAAAAAATATTTGTAATAATAATAACAAATAAAAGATTCAAAAATCTAGGAGCAACAAAAAAAAAAAACATAGTTTTGGTCGTACAAGTTATATAATACTGTGAAATTAGGCTTAACATGATTTAAACACAGTAAAAAGTAAATAAAACCGGTTAAATGATAATAATAATAACCGAGCACTGGTGTCATTAACAAAATTATGGTTTAAACAAAGAATAAAAATAAAAATAATAAAAWTTTTTACTAAGAATGGTTCAAATAAGCCTGAAGATTTGGTGATATTTACAAAACATAAGTACCTACATATCTTTTTGAACTATAATATTAAAATAATAATTATATAAAATTTACCAGAACAATATTTTATAATTAATCACATTGAAAATAAGTATTGCATATAAGACACATTGTTAGTATAAAACAGTTTCTTAAATGATGATAAAACATGCAAATTTTAGCAAAATTAAAAAAAATCTACTAGTTAAGTTACTATTTGTCTATTAAATTTTAGTAGTTGTTTTTCATCACTTAAGTAACTGTTATCACTGATTATTGCTAGGTAATATTATTAATAAAAAAAATACTATATAAATTTAACCACAAAATAAAGGTGCATCACAGCCCTAGTTATGTTAGGCAACATATAGGCGAAGTTTGAAAGTCTTAGTCATCAATTATTGCTTAGGCCACCTAAAAGAAGGACTTTCCCAAATAAAAAAACATAATAATAATAATAGTATATAAATAGAAGTAGAAATATAAAACATTATGTATAAAAAAAAAATAACACATGGTAAAGCTTAAACAACATTACCAATAGCCTTAAATTTAAGGATTTCAAATAGATAACTACAAGAAATAAAATAAATAATTTTAGACAAAAAAAATCACAGAGAAAAAAATCGATAAACATTTTGGAAAAAAAAAACAAATGCAATAGGAAAGACATATTGTAACAACTGAATACCAATGACAAAAATATATATGCTATGTATATAATATTTAAAAAAAATCATTGGAAATTTGAATTCTACTAATATTTAATACCATTGATTAGAATATTATATATTGTGGGGAAAAAAATGTGAGATGTTCTAGGATTTTAAAAAACTTATAAGTTAGATAGTGGAATGGGAAATGTAGATAATATCTGGAGAATGTTATTAGGATTATTAAAATTATTGTCCAAGAATGTCCATAGTAGTTTGTCTTACTCATTATAAACAAAGAGATCCACTAGTAATGAAAATGTTTAAGATATAGAAAAATGTTACAATCAGAAGAATATCACTTCTTCTTCAGTAGTGGAGGTAGCATTGGTGTTATTAATGCTGCCACTATTTTGTGTAGTCTGTGTTTTGGACTGTTTTGACTCTGGACTTCGAATGCGAAATTTTTCAGGCAATTTTGGATATGTGTTTGTTCTGCCAGGTTTATTACCAGATTGTTTTCCTTCTATTATCTAAATATTAGGAATGAAAAATAATTGTAAGAGACACAAAGTTACAAAGATAAATATCAATTATAGAACCATAATAATGTTGTGTTATTGCATTAAGAAATTCTGGTATTCAAATTTTAAATAATAAGTTTTCAACACTAATTTATCTACTCAAATATTTAATTAAATAAAAATCATTGTTTGATTAATTATTCATTTTTAATTTAATATTTTTACTATTCATAAGAATTATCTATAAATTCTTATTTTTGTACATTAAGAAAATGCCATACCCAAATGTGTTTTTTCCAAGTTATAAATGTATAACATAAYAAATTTGAGTTCACTGTTGAACAACATCAATTTTGTGTATTTAATTTAGATATTTTTAATTTTAATATTCAAGCAAGTTATAAATATATTTAAATTGCAATATCTTAAAAACATTACTCGCTTAAAAATTTAAAATGTTTTAAAAACCAAATGTACATAAATTGATAATTTTATTCAATTAAGTTTGATAACTGGTCAATTCCCCTAATAGTGAAACCTAACATCACAAAATCAGTTCTGCAGAAAATTCATTTGGTAAGTAGCTTATATCATAAAACCAACACTCAGACATTCTTTATCTCAAAGTAAATTTTTTGTCAACATTTATGATTTTATAATATTCATGAAAATAAATGTTAAAATTATTAATGGCAATTATGATAGAACGGATATTTATGGTCAAACTTTTAATCATAACTTATATATATACATATTTTTTCTGCAAATATATTCTAAATACCTGAGCACTTTGCATCATTGCTGGACTAGATCCTGTACGTGAATGACTAGGGCCTAGTTGACTTGATGGCGATAGCATTTCAATAGAACTGCCTTGAATAGGGTTCATTGGGTTTTTGGCACTCTCACACAACTTTAATGGTAAAAGTTGTTGAAAAGCATTTGATGATTGAGAAGGTGAAGTTATGGTACTGGGTATGGTATCAGATGTAGAACTTGAATTATTGTTACCCAATTTAGTAGCTAATTTAAATGGTAATTTCTGTTTTATTTGAACTTTGGAAGCTACCTAAACAAAGTTAAAAAATAAAATAAAAATATAGATCACATGGGAATTTTACGTAATTTTTCTATTTTAAAATAAATATATTCCTTACCTTTTGTTGGTTAGTAGCACTAATCAAGTTAATAGGTAATGTAGACGAGGAAGTGGCTGAAGGTAGAGTATTATGCTGTTTCCATTTCAGAGAATCGGTTCTTTTACTACGCACAGATTCTGAATGAGACAATGGCTGAGTTACACTATCAGAGAGAGATTGATTTTGCATCTGTTGATTTGGTGATACAGGTGGTAGCTGCATATTAGGTGACACAATAATACCTTGATTGGTTAACATTTGTAATTTAAGGTAAAGCTGCTCTCGTTGCTGAGTTACATCAGTTTGTTCTAATCGTACTTGTTCCTAAAAACAATTGAAATTAGAGTTTATTATTGATATTATTTAAATTTCAGAAAATCAACTACCAAATTTATAATATTGCATATTAGGTTTAAATAGAAATACCAGCAGGACTAAAAAGTAATGTATAGATTATTGTTAATTAAAGTAATAAAGTGCACACGCTTCTAATAACAGTTTATTTTAAATTTTAAAACTAACCTGTAATCTAAGCAATTGTTCTCTTTTTTCTTCCAAATCCTTAATCTCGGAATCCCGTTCTCTYATCCAAGACTCTTTTTCATGTGTTAACTTATCTTGTAGATTACGTAGTTCCTCCAATTGATGATTATGCCTATAAACTGGCCTTTTATCTTTTAAACAGGAAGTAGAACTCATGTTTGAACTGTTTACTGTTGGGTCTTCCAGGAGATTCTGAGACTTGTAAGCAGCTAACTCAGCTTGAAGACTTAAAAACAATTTGTTCAACCAATTATTTTTGATTTTCAACATTCTACAATCACCCCTTTTATATTCCATAACAACAATACATTTAATTTAAATCATTATAACTAATGGGCAAGGTTTAATAAACCATAATAATAATATTAGTAACCTAAGCATTGACAACAATTATAATTWAGAAAAAATTCAACATTGATAAATATWTGAATATTATATTGTACTGATTTTCTTTTCTTTTTTAAATATTGAACACCACTGACCTCATACTCATCATAAAAATGAATTATAATGTACAATAATATATGAAATGTAAACATTTCTATAGGCTTTTGTCTAAATGGATATTAATAGAAGTTACATTTTCAAAATATATTGTCAATGAAAAAAAAAAAACAAAAAAAACAGGTTAGTTTTAAGAGAACGTTACATGAAACTATACGTTAGTTATCTCAGTCTTACAAACATACAAAACAGCAAATTTTTGTTCACTGATTTCAATAGTGTGCAGTTAGTTTTGATATTAGAGTGAATTTACTAATCGTAATATTTTAAGGTAAGATTATTATCTAAGGCCCCACATAGACTTTAACTGATATTATTATTTTTAAGTAAATTATAATCATTTTAAAATGTACAGTTTAACAAAAATAAAAATATTTATAAAAGACTATGTGACTATGCTTTATATAATAATCTTACCTTTAATTTGTTTAATAGGTTGATTTATTCTAATATGAAAACTAACAGTACACTATTGAAACTAATAAATGCAAATTTGCTATGTCTTACATGTGTAAAATGGAAAAAATGAATGCTTGGTYCTCTGAATGCTGATTATTTTTATAACCTTTTGTTTTTTTATTTTTGTCATACAATATATATAATTGTTATCTAATTTTCTTTAGTAGTCATTTCATTTATAACATCCATAAACTTAATTACAAAATTAAAGGTAAATTTTATAAACTAGTTGGATTGAACATCTAATATCACACATAAAAATGAACTACATAAAATTAATTCTGGTATAAAACGAAAAATATGGTTTATAATACAGAACCTAAATATTTATAAATGACAATATATTTACCTATCAATATTAGTCATTTGTTGTGAAATAATGGAAGATAAAGTATAAATATGATGTGTTAATTCCATTGCAGTAGCTTGTTGTTCTTTTCCCAGTGCTAATAATGTTGGGAACTCGCTGGATGATTGTATTGTAGTGGCACTTTGAGATGAGCTAGTACTACAATTTTCTTTCCAGGTAAGATTGATATCTCTCTATATWAATACGTACATTTTTTTAAATGAATAAACATCATGATTTTGATTTAAGATCTATTTTTACCATTTTGGAATCTTTACGAGTGGAATTTGGAGTACCCATCGGACTAGAATTACTAGATTCCACACTATTTTCATTACTATCCAAAACTTTTGGTAATTTTCTTAGAGCATCTAAATATAAATATTTATAATAAATAAATAATGAATATACAAGTGAGTCTCGTTATGTYTGTAATTACTTTTTGGTGATGATAATGAATTATCAAATCCGCCAAATGTTTCAGCTCTTTTAGGTAATGTTGGTGAAACATATGTTACACTTTGATGTTCACCTACAGAACTTGCACTACGAGACAAATTGGTACCAGAAGCATACAATGAACAAGCAAGTTCATTGACTTTCTGAAAACATAAACCAAACATTTTAAAACAAAAAAAACATAGATAATAAYAATATATTTATTCCCAACTAAAATTTTTTACTAAAAAAAAATTACAATTTAAAATAAAATAAATTGGTCATTTCCAAGCTAATGGCTGAGCGGAAGGGAAGTGAGTTCATATTGTAGTCTATAGTATTACCTTAATATAATAATAATAACTAATCAATAGCAGATTTATGATTAAAGTAAAAAACAGCACTAAAAATTAATGATTTTATACATTTAACAAGTATAAAAGAATTATAAGAGAGAAAACAGAAAATCGCAAGTAAAAAAGCGTTTTTACAATATTAAAATATAACAATATAATGTTTCATAAACTTAGCTAATTTTTCCAATTACATAATATTATAAATAATAGCAGAGGAATTTTGTTTAAAATTACGTTAAGAATAAGTCACAAAGTTTAATTTAGAATTTTATACAAGAATTAAGAAATACATATTTTAGTCCAGACTCAGTGAAATAAATACTTAATAATATAAATAATATTTAATTTACCTGAATAGCATTCATCACTTCTTTACGTATCTTTTCTGAATCTTGATGCTCTGTAACTAAATGAGAATATGATGGAGTTTCAATTGGTAATGTTTCTACTCCAGCAGATGCTAAAAGCTTTAGCTGTAATCCCATTTTTTCTTCTAAAATCAGAGCTTGCTCCACATCTTTTTGCCTCAATATTCCTATACATTGAATTATACATAAAAAATTAAAAAACACAATATAGCTCTAAAATGTAATATAAATATTAAATAATAAGATGATACATACCAACAATGTCTCTTATATTGTTTTTCTTAGTTTCCAATTGCCTTTGTCTTTCTTCAAAACTGAAGGTTACATGTCCATTGTCTTCTTCTTCAGGACATTCATTCACAGCTGAACGAATAGATTGTATCCATACTTGAATGTCTTTAGGTTTATGAACTTTAAGTTCAAACATTTCTGGTTCGGCTGTATTAGAAGATATTAAATAAATACCTTTAGTATCATTTCCAGCTTTAACCCTGACTAAGAGTTTTTGCAATGATACTACACCAGCAACTGGTTTTAAAACCTATAYATTTAAAAACAACATGATGAATTATAAACAATTTTAACTTTTTAACAAAAAAAATTACTTTAGTTTCTTTTTCTTTATTGCTTTCAGGCATAAAAAAGTTATACTTGTGATTATTTTCAACTATAAAAAATAGCACATCGGTCATAACAATTACATTAACCATTACCATTTGTGTTTTAGCATGACGTTGCATAAGCCAGGCTGTCCCTTCAAATCTAAGAAAATATATTACTTTAATAACATGTATACTACATAATATTATTTACATTTAATCAACACTTATAATATAAAAAAAAAACATTAGAATAATAATGAACAAACATTGTTGGGGTTTATTATTTAAGTTCATTTTTTTAAACATAGATACTTTAAGTTATACATAATTTTGTTAAACTTTAATACATCAAAAAAAATATTAATTGCATAACAATTGTWMTCATTCCAATTCATCGATTTAAAAAAATTTAATATCTAAAATTACAATAATAATTACATAATATGTAATAGGTACTATTTACTAATATTTACTCAATAAAATGTGCAAATGCTATGACAATTGAGAAAACTCATAATAAATTTAATTTTATATTAATTCAAATGTATTTTATAATGCTCTACTAGGGTTAAAAAGCAGCAGCTGACTTGTACGTAGAAAGGAGTCTACAAAGGGTAGACTTTAAGCCTTTAGGTTCAATATACAAGCGTTTCCTAGACTCATTGATAAATAATAGTAACTGAGAAGATCCTTATTGTAAATAGATTATAGTTATTAATATTTTTACTACAATAATATAAAATACATAACAGAAGATCAATTATTAATCCTAATTTTACTCTACTACAATATCATATAAAATTAAAATTAAAATAGAACTATAAAATGTGATAAGTGATGACTATCTTTATTTCCCTTGAAAACAAATATAAGTTGGAGAACATTGTCTTCTTCATTTCTTTTTTAATTAAATTCTGATCTATCAAGGTTCTGTAAGAAACTTTTGAAAATTATTTTATAAGAACTCTTCATAGTATAACTATTAATTTGTTCATTCTATTCCAAGTTAAAAATAAAACCAGACTTTTAATTTAAAGGAAAATATTTTGTTTTAAATATATCATAAATAAAATATCTAAGCTTTTTCATTAGAAGTGTATTTATTGATAAATTTAATTGTAATCATGATATTTAAAATCTTATGAAAACAATGTAGTTTAAATAGTTTAATTATTTAATGAAATTAGGGATATCTATATGATATATTCCTTAATTTTATCATAAAACAATAAAAAATATTTTTAAAACAAAACTCACCTCAGTCTTCTATTCTCAGACAATAAATCAGATTTTTTAAATTTACGTCCTCTAAAATTAGTGTAAGACTTAGCTTCCATCCGATTATATATTTCAAGTTTTCTATMTTCTTTTTCTTTTTCAGCTACTTGAGAGTCTACTTCCACCAAGATCTCCTAGATAAATACCATTTATAAAATCAATTAATTTAACCAACATGTAATTAAGCATTCAACTTACTTTAACCATAGCTAATGCTCTAGAAAGTTTTTCACTTTCAACTTTGTTTTTTTTTGAAGTTTTTATAAGAGGTTCAATGAGTAATGGATACTTAGTTAATCTTTGAGTGACAAACAATACACACTCAGGAATACCTTTTTTTTTCAACAAGGGATTGGCCTAAAGCAAATATAATCAATTTGTAGACCAGGAGTTATTAAAATCATGCAATTTTTGAATTCACTAACCTGACAGTGTTTCATAAAATTAAAAAAAGCTGGATCTTTTTCTAAAACTTTATAAACATCCAATGCATCCCTATGTCGTGAGCAGAATTCTCCATAAGAGCTCTTTAAACGTTGAGCATTTATATTTGAAAATTGATCTAATAGTAAATCTGCGATGGAATCTACAATACCATTATTATAGATAGCTGCTAAACGTTGTTTTTCTTTTAACTTTTCTAAAAATCGAATGTGAATTTCTGTAAGCTCAGCTAATCTAGGGAACATACGATAAACTTTATCGCCGAGTTGGAAATGCTTTTGTAAACCATCAACAAATATCTATAACAAATTGATTTATTTAATATTAAAACATACTATAATAGAATAATCTGTTTGAAATTACTTTCTGCATGACTTTTAAAGTAAGGCAATGATGTTTTTCTGTTAATATAAATTCATAAATATGTTCTTGGCGTTTTATTTCATTATTATTATCTTTCAAACTTTTCACAGTCTATAAGACAAAATCATAATTAATGTTATTAAAAAAATTTACAAAATTTTTAATTACTTCTTTGGTAACAGTAGGTGTCCATGAATCAGGTTGTTCTTCGTGTAATCCCAATGCTGGATCAGTTTCTAAATCATGAGCTGTTATATGATCTTTTCAACAAAAACAAATACAAAATATTAAGTAGGGGTTGGAACCAGAATAATTGATTTGGATTTTGAGTTCTTAACTTTAGTTAGAATATTTAAAACTGTTATTAAAATGGCTCAGACACTAGGCAATTAATTGCCACATTTTTAAAGATAGGGATGCACACAATTTATCACTTAMTATGTGAGTCACTTAATACTCTTAACACACTTCAGGTGCTAACTATCAAATTTGGAATTAAATGTTGAGTGTTAGTAAACCAAATTTCATATAAACTTAGGTTAACTTTTTCATTTCCATTTTGCATAAAATAAATTACTATACAAATGGTGGTGCATATAGATCCAATTTTTATTTCTCCCGTCAATCAATATTTGATCTAACATATTCGGTGTCAATAAATAATTTATAATATGAATGATTAATCGATGAGATATAGATTAYAGTCTCAATTTACCATCATCATCAGAATTTTTTTCAAAATATTAGTAACTTCTCGGAAGAAAAAGTATTATTTTTTTTAGTCAATACTAAAATTGATTTTTGGTATGTATAATTGGATATTTTAATTTCAAGCTATTTTAAAATGCAGGTTTGGGATATTGGGTTTATTACTATTATTATAGATATTTTTAATTTGTATGGTAATTATCACAGAGTATAAATACTATTATTAGGTAATTGTATATCATTAATAGTTAGGTGCTTACTTTCATTTAAAAATTCAAATTGAACCAAGGAAACTTCATCCGAGTATCTAAAAAAAAAAAACTTATATAAAAATATAGATAAATGAGAAATTCATATTTTAACAAAAATTTTTAATATATAACATAGAGGAATAATGATAAGCAACATAACATTTTGTTAATGTTAACCTTCCTTTATGTCTCTGTATAATATTTAAAAAAAACTTTAAAGTAATGCAACAAAGCTAAAAGTGTTTCTTTAGTTATATCCTATCAAAATTAGATTACTTGAAGTCAATATCATTCAAAATATCTATTTAAGAAATTAAAAACAAAGTTTTAATGATAAAAAAAAAAATACATAAAATGATTTTATAAAATTAAATAAATCACAGTACTCTTTTTTAAACTTTTATGATACAATTCAGCAAATCCTGTTAAAATAAATGAAAATGATGACTGATTATTACAAATTATAATATAGTTAGACCATTATTATGAAGATGTGCAAACATAATAAGGTCAGTGGCCTGTGATCAGCTATTGTATTCACAGATAAATGTTAAACTATTTTTTTTAAATTTTGTTGGTATCATATAATTTTAATAAAAGGCATATTATGTAATTTAAAATCTTATATCTATTGTTTAATATTATACATAGAAATGATTCTTAATATAAATTTAATAGTAGCGAAGCACTAACATTAATACCAACAATAGGTTAAAACAATTTAACTATATTAAATCTATGCAATATAATTTATATGTAAATATATTATAGATATATATATATATAAATATATACATGTAATTAAGTACACATATGTTTCATAATTAATTATCATTGAATATTAAGTAACTTTTATTTCATATATATTTTTTTAAATATAATGAAATTGTTTAAGATGTAGAATGTAATAAATAATAAATTTACCTATACTCAGTTCAGTAAGAGAACACACTAACTCTACGCATCCCCCCAAGAGACTCCCTGCCATTGAGACTGCTTCTGCCAAGGCAGAATGTTGTGTGGGGACTGGGGATACACAGTAGAAACATTTTTGTTGGGTCGTTTAGTGTTCTCTTGCTCGATAAAGTATAGTGTCCCTAACATTAATGATTAAACACTTTCTTGGAAAATTACTTTCAACATAACACTTTAGACACCTATAAACTATTTTATATTCAAAAATTAAGAGTATACTGAACATCTATGAGATAAATTATTATTTTTTTACTTACACTACACCATCTTGCGAATGACTATGACCATCATCTTTATCTTCCGAATGGCTAAAATTAAATATAATTTTTATTAGTTAAAAATATATAGCAAATTGTACTTAATATAAAAAATTTAAAATTCCATATGAAAATGGATGAGTAACATACACACAGGATATAAAGGTTACGATTAATACTACTAAAATACATTTTACTATATATGAATATATAATTATTTACCATATGTTAAAGGCATAATCATATAAAATTTAGCGCATAAACAAACTAAATATAATGGCTGTTATTTCTAATAATTAATATTCTATACATTATACAAATTTAAAAGGGTAATGGATTTTAGTTAAGAGGACGCCATAAATCTATGTCTTGTTTCCGTCTTATAAGTGAGTAACAGCAAATTTTACGCTCAGCAATTTACATTTAGCTCAATTAGTTTAGAGTTGAGAGTGAATTTACCTCTTATAAAAATTAAAGGTAATGTTATTATCTAGGTTTTCACAGAGGCTTTTTATTATATTTTAATTTTAAAGCGAGTTATGGGTATTTTAAGATATTCAAACAATTTACAATTTTAAAAATACTCATAACTTGCTTTAAAATTAAAATATAATAAAATGCCTATGTGAAAACCTAGATAATAATGTTATCTTTAATTTTTAGAAGAGCCCAATTCACTCTAAACTTTAAACTAAAGGAGCTAAATGTGAGCTGCTCAGCGTAAAATTTTCTGTTATGCACTTGTAAGATGAAGACAACATAATATGCAGATGTGGTGTCCTCAAGAAATTCTTAAGTGGCATTCTCTATTCTATGTTAAATGTAGAAAAAGCAATAATAATAATCATTTAATATATTATGATCTGCATTAACTTAAATAACTTTATGAAATCGAAAGAACAAATTTAAGTTATTTGAGAAGTTCTAAAAATAAATTAAAAATTAAAAAATATATTATAAAAATAGATTCTGAGCAAAGCAAAGAACATTTTATTATTTTTACTGTTATTCCATACCAATCATACTCATTATACCTTGTCTGTATAGATTGTAAATATGCTATTTTAAATAAATAAAAACRAAAAAATATTTATTTGGTACCAACTACCTACTTATTGTATAGCGGTCACTGATCGAGGGTTATATTTTACTTATAACTAATAATTTAAACACTAAAGATACAAAATGGGCTTCCTCAGAAATTTTTATAGGGAAGGGGGGGGRGCAAAATTAATTTAAAAAAAATAAATGAAAATTTACTTTTACGTTTTATGCTTACATTTTAAAAGTAATTGAAAACAATTGTAAACAGAATATTTTCACTATGTATCATTTTAACAAATATATTTAATAATACACTACCATCTAACCTCAAAACGAGTGGAACCAATATCCMATTTCTGTAAATAGATAGAATTTTCTGATAAATTTATGATGAAGTAAAATTAATAAATTATCATMGTAATTATATAAAAATAAATTTAATATCACATAAATCTATCAATTAAAAATAATTTTTATGATTATATTTAGATAAAATGGCGGTTAATTGTAATAGTAATTGATAAAATTATTTAATGCCGTTTTAACTTACATTTACATTGCTCAGAATCTTTTTTAGTTTTATAATTATTTATTTTAAGGTAGTAGCACAAATTCCAAGTATATGATCTACACAAAGCAGTAGATAAAATAACATGCATAACAGTTTTTTGTTATCATTACTTCTTTAGAAATAGTAGAAATACAATATAATAACCATAGTAAGGCGATGAATTGAAATATTTTATAATTAATTATGTTTATTAATTACTACAAAAATTTCCGATTAACTTTATTAGTTTAAAGCAAATTTGTATTTATTTATCATTTGTCTGTACAGTTCATCAATATTGATAGTTAACTTTTGTCTATTTTCATGATTAAATAAATATTATGTGCTTATTATAAACGAAAAGTAATATAAGAAATTAATATTAGATTCATAAAACAAATTACATAAACAATAGCATAAAATCAATAGGTTTAAGAAAAATAAAATGATTAATTAAAAAAAAATATATATATATTCTTGGATGGACTTCAAAACATTTAGACTTGAGAGGGATGTAACAAAATGGCATTTGTTTCACCATCTCCATCAGATCACATGTAGCTTTGTTAGCTTAAACGTGAAAGTGAACCAAACTCTTAAAAAACCTTATGACTAGGTGTTTGTGTGTGGGTTTTTGTATGGTGATTCAATTTTTAAGCAAGTTAAGCATTTTTTATTAATGGTATATTATATACKTAAAACTTGCTAAAAAATTGAACTATTGTAAAAAACATATACTAACACAGGTAGTGTCCTTAACGTCAAGTTTCATAAGAGGTCAATTCATCCTAATTTTTTAATTAAAAAAACTACAAATGATATGCTGGGCACAAATTTGRTATCCCAAGTAAGATGGAAACAAATGCTAGTGTTACATTCTCTTAACTATAAGATACCAAAAYACACATCATTTATACTTTAAAATACACAACCTGTTATGCATATCCACAAAATGTGTTTTAGAGTAATTACAACAAAGTAATTCTAAAAATTTTTTTCCAGCTTTTTAGAAATTTCTCAGATTAATATCTAAAAATTAAATTGTAAGTCTGCTTACATAACTGTACATACAACTTAGTAAAAAGTTAACAAGAAAGTAAGAAAAATGATCCTTCGTCTAGCAAAAGAAGAAAAACATTGTATATAATATTAAGGTATACAACACCATAAAATATTAATAGTAGGAAATATATAATCAACTTAAATTTCAACCTAAATCTACCTTAGTCCACATCTAGATGACAACAAAATACTAAATGGTTCAAAATGTAATTTGTATATTTTATACAAAATCTGTTTAATTATTTACTATTTGGATTTGTTTATGAGATAAAATAAAAAAAGTTATTAAGATTAATATTTATTTTAAGTAAAAATCAAACAAAACAATTTAATTCACAATAACATAGAGCCAAAAGAATTATTCAAAATGCACATAAAAAAGGGGTTGCAATTACAGTAGATCAGTATATTGTGTTGCGGGGGAAACTTACTTCACACCTAATTTGGTTGCTACCACTTTCCAAGGAGAGTAAAACTGCACCATAAATTTCCTGAGAACGGATAGGTGAAAAAAAATTTATGCACACAAAAACAATTGAGGAAAATTTTTTCAATTATTAAAATTATCATATCTACAATATATACAAATTTACATACTCTATAATTCAAATTTAATAAAAACCAATATAAATTATTTAGCCTCTGCCCTCTACTATAATTATAAATATCAAATTCAAACATGAATTAAAATACAATGAATGAAAATAGTAAAAATGTGTTTTTCAAATGTTAATATTTGATGTTATATAAATTTAAAGCCATGCAAATATAAGATTATAATTTATAATTTTACATCAAACATAAATAAATTGAATATCTCTAAAACGCAAAAATGTATGTTTATTTTGTTAAGATACATTTTCTATGATGTTTAGCATCTAGTTGAAGGTCGTCTAAAATCCAAATTTAGGTAATAATTGTTGCACTTTTAATATGTAATTATAAATGCTGATACATTTAAACATTTGATTAGGTTTTATTTGCCTACAATTTTTAAATAGGGTGAGGCTAGTTCTATTTATTTATTATGTAGTATAGATTATATTAAAACATTTTAATATTTATGAAAAAATTCTATTTAATATATATAATTACCAGATAGATTAACATATTATTATAAAAAATATTTAATAGCAACTCAAAATACTCCAGAGTTAATCTGTAGTGGTGGCCAAAACAGAGTCAGATATAATATAGTAACTATGTTTCAATATTCAATCCCCTTAATTCTTTCAGTGTTTGTACATGTAGTAAAAAGCTATACTACAGATTTTTATTTTAAACTAAACTCTAAAAATAGTCATTCATTCATTAATTATATTACTTTMAAATATGACACTTTAAATACTTTAATTAAGTACCGCTTTCAATACACTACGGATCCACCACTGGACCAAAAAAATAAATATTATAGTTATATTTAATTGAAAAAAAGAAAAAACACTTTTCTAATTAACTAAGCCATACTTCAAATAAGTTATATTATAATACAAAAACTAAAAAGTAAACTGCTCTAGTTAGATAGTTGAAATATTGCAATACTTTGTCAAATTTATATGGTATTTTCTTTTTAACTGATATGAGAATAATCAATTGTATAAAACTATACTAATTAATAAGAAGTTGCTTAATATTTAATGTATTAATCTTCCAAAAAATAAATAGTACTAAATTCAATATAGGTATTGAATATGAGATAATTTAGGCATTACCACAATTAAAATATCATAATAAACAATTTTTATTAAATACCTACTTATAATATAAAGTATAGTTTATTAATTTGTAGATTACTTATCAATTCTATAAAACACATTTTATGATAATGTTTTTGTATTTATCTGCATAGATATTAGGAGTTTATCTTGAAAAAAATTGAATCAATGGATATATTTTGCTTTATACTAGGTATCTAGAGAGTCATTGCAATAGATGTGTTCAATTTCATCAATCAAAATATTGGTTTGAGACACACCAAAAAAATAGAATCCWKTWTTTTAGATATTGGTTTTTGGTAATAATAATTTTTGTTTTTCAATTTATTAAAAATTAACAGTAATTTTCGATTTTAATGTTTAAAATTATTACCTAGATTTACTTTTATATCAGAAAAGATGCTGATTTCAAGCATTGGAGCATTTTAACTATCCCAAATGTTAATGAAGGACAAAAAAAAAACACATCAATATAAAATCAACACATTCATACACTACACTCAGTATCTAAAATGTAAGTATGTCTAGACATGTTGTCAATTTCTGAATATTGTTATGACATGAATAGATAAACAGACATGTGGAATATACATACATATTTAAGAGGATGTTATACCTGCATGTGTTGTCTCCGTCTTACCGTCTAACAAGTGCGTATCATATCAAAATTTTACACTCAGCAAAATACGTTTAGCTTCGTGAGTTTACAATTTAGAGTGAATTGGCCTCTTATAAAAAATAAAAGTAACATTATTATTGAGGGCTTYTCATAGGCTTTTCATTATATTTAAATTTTAAAGCGAGTTATGAGTATTTTAAAATTGTAAACTGTTAGTATATCTTAAAATACTCATAACTCACTTAWAAACAGCCTATGAGAAGCCCTCAATAATAATGTTACCATTTAATTTTTATGATAGGTCTATTCACTCTAAATTTTAAACTAACAGGACTACACTTGTTTAYTGAGTGTAAAACTTGCTATGTTACACATTTGTAAGACGGAGACAACACATGCCAGTATCACATCCTCTTAATATTATCTATGTTATAAATAGGGCATGTCAGAAATTCTGTTTCAAGTTATGATAATATTTAGCTAACTAATAGTGATTATATTCAAATGATAATTGTATGTTATTATATACTATTTAGTTATTGTTGCTTAATCAACATAGATTTTTCTTTTCGAATAAATATTTTGTTATAAAAGAGTATACCTTAATAACACAATAAATATATTATTTAATTATCTAGTAAAACAATAAAAAAATTAAATTTAAAACAAAAAGTATAGCATATTCCTAGTTATACTTATTATCTCAAACTTAAATGTATTCACTCATCACAATTATTCAATTTTGGCATTATGCATTATATTATATAATTTTGAAGTTTTCCCAACAGGGATACATATTTTATTTACTAATTCAGTAAAATTGATCACACCCACCACAGATTAAATTAAACATAATATTACATGCTTAATTATATTCTATAATTACCTATCCTATACATTTTTTTATTTTAATATTAATATTATATATTATTTTTGGCAAGAAATAATATTTTAATATTGACATAGATATGATTTTTAAAATTTAATTAATTCATAATGCATTTACCTGTTGGGCGATGAAGACTGATTAGTATTATTTTGGCGTTTCCCATAAAACCTTTGTTGAAATGAGGATGATGAAAATCTCAAATTACTCTATTAAAATTATTAAAATATGAAGTAAAAATATTCACTTAAATTATGTTAGTGTACATCAAAATAAATATAATTCTTAAGAAAATACCAACCTTTCCATATTTTTGTTTAACACATTCAGAAACTTGATCTTTACATGAGTTTTGGTGAACTGTGATCAAACAACCTAGAAATTAATTTAAAATTAAAATTAACTTAGTTTAAAATAATTATAACAATTTCATACTTTCACAAGATAAAGCTGGTTTATTTTCTAGAGGTTTTGCACACCAATCACATGACTGTTCAAAGTTACTGTATGGAGGAGACATCCAGGAATGAATTATTTTCTTTGATTTATCTTTTTTCTTTCTAAAAAACAAACTTCCTCTTTTTCTTCTTTTAGCATTTTGATCWTCTGACATACTACAACAAGTTTTATGAAAAAAAGCAATTTAACATAATAATAAATAAATTGTTATATTATTAACTAAAATAAATGAAAAGTGTGCAGTGCAAATAATTTTTTTTTTTAACTCACTCAGAAAACAAATTGTAGAAGGGTATATTTGTGTTATTAGATGAAGGGGTAATATAACAACGTTTCATTGTACTATCTACATCCAATGTTTCTTCTTCAGTCTCACTGTCTTCTGTACCACTAGGACGACTTCTATGGTGGGTAGGATTTTTGTATTTACTTTAATAAAAATAAAAATAGTAATAACTATACAATTGAAATAAAGCGATATACGTGCAATCTGTGATTAAGTAATTCACAATTATTATAATATTATAATAATTTAAATCATTAGAATATCAACGCTTAAAGCACCATTTGCTTTTAAATGGTTTCACTATTCATACGCATATCAAATAAAGATGTTAGATTTGTTTTTAGTAGTAGCTGTATAAGCTAAAATATAAAGTAGTTAATACATAGATAAAATTATTAATTTTGACTAGAGAAGATTAATAAGATAGGTATTAAAATAGATACTTAGGTAAAATATTTAGTCAAGTATCACTTGTTTATAAATTTTAAGTCTTTACAATTATATTTTTTGTTTCATCAAATWATATATATGTAAAATTAAAAAAATGACTGAAAAATATACTATGTTTATATSTTGGCATTAAAACAGTTTATAAAATGTAAACCGAACTGTTTTAAAAGTTAAAACACTCACACTATGTAGTTTAAGAATTTCAAACCGTTTTAACACCATCATATAAAAGAAATTATAGTTAAGTATTATTTCTTTTTGAAAACAGTTGATTTCAGCATTAATTTTTTTGAGTCAAGTTAAGTTTTAAAGTCCATTTACTCTAACATTTGAGATTCTAATATCACCAAAAATTTGAGTACCAACCTTTTTGTAACTGGTATTTTATTGTACTTAATTTAAAGAGCATCAAGCATATTTTGAGTAGAGAACTAACACAATTCTATTTAAAATTGAATTATAAAGGTTTTTAAGCGAATTGTATTGTATTTACATAAGCATAAATATAATTTAATAATTAAAAATATATATTACGATACAATGTCTAATTTAATAAAAAAAAACATCTAATACTGACATATAGGTGCTTAAACTATAAAATAAAAAATAAATTTGTGAACTAAATAAATATATACAAATGATTAAAATAAACTTACATTGGAATACTATTGACGTCATTATTTGAAACATTTTCTTTATTTAAAATGTCACGTGTACCCATAATTGAAGGTGTGGAAACAGATTTTTGTAAAGGAAGTCTGGCTTGTAATAAACAAGTTTCAACAGCTCGTTTGGCTGTTATTTTGTTAAAACCATTCTGTTATACATGTAATTATACAAAAAGTTAACAAAAACTAACAAATAATAATAATAATGATAAAAACATTAAGAGGACGCTACACATTTTTATTTCATACCTGATAATCAGTTTCATTAAGCGAGTGTGTAGAAGTTCCACTAAACCTGCGACTAATTGGACTAACATTTTTATTTGACTTCTGGTGACGAAATGATGTACTGTCAGTATTTAATAAATTTGCTGTGCTATCTGTAAATGGGTCTTCTGTCTCAGATTCCATACTGCTTAAGCTTGCACTAAAAGAGATACATTTAAAGCAGTGAAAAAATAATATGATTGTTACTTCATTAATACCTCTTATGTCGTTTTACAATTTTTAAGCTATGCATGTGATTTTTAGTTAAGTCATCTAATGCTGCCCAACTTCTTCTCCGAATAATTTCATTTTCTTTGGAATCTGCACAATTTTTTGCCATATTAAACCAGTTAAAACATTTTTCTTAAAAAAAAAAATTTTAATTAAAGGACTTTAATAAAATAGTATTATAAAACATACTACGTCTAACAAATCCAGTTTTGTGTTTTCTAATCGAGTCAAATGTTGAAGATAAATCTGTATGTGTAGGAGAAGAGTTTAGGCTGGAAGTATCTAATTCAGACTGGCAATGAGGTTTACTTAATGAAGGACATGACGAACTTAATGTATTATTCATTCCACAAAAATGTATCATCTATATAATTAAAAAAATTATTACTTTTTATTATTTTACTATAATAACATTTGAACCTAAAAAATAAAATGTATTAATTTAAATTACATGTGTCAATCCTAACGTGGCAGAATCACGCATTTGTTGTATAACCTCATGTATTTCATGTAGTTGTTGAATATTTTCCTCTGTAAAAATTGATAAATTTAAATGAAAAAACATTTAATTTTGAATGATGGTGAATTTAAAGATAATAASCAAGGACTGGATAATTTTTTCCAGATGCTAAATGAGGTGTAACGCTGATTGTAGGAACTAGAGTAGTGCTTGGCATTGTTCTCAACACAAAATCAGTTGAATCAATACTATTTACATCATTTGCTGCTGTATTCATCTGAGAATAATCTGTTACTGTGTCTTCTTCACTATCGTCCAGCTCGTCTGTTTCAAAATGTTCCATTTCATGTCTTTATAATAACTTTATTCTATAATCAAATTAACAAATTATTGTTAGCACTTTAATTATTAGTTTAAGTGTAAAATGGAAGCAATTTTTAAATCTAATTCATAAATCAACTTGGTAATTTGAAAACTAATTTAGATATAACTATCTTAGTATATCTGAATTATTACGTACATAATTAGATATTTACCAAATAAAATGAAATATACATGAAAAAAAATATTGTAGACTAGCTGTGAAAATTCTTACTAGGTATTATCTTTCATTATATTTATAGTTAAGATTTAAGTCAGTATTAAAWATTTTTGTTATTTAAAAACACTTCACAATTAATATTAATTTTTAATATAGGTATATTCTTTTCCTATTTACTATAATATTTATAATAATATTATTACCTATATATAATTTTCTGTTATTATATTTTGTAACATATTATCAGTTAAATATAAAATTTTAGAATTTTATACAATGTAAAACCTATGCTCTTAATTAAATGTTATTTTCTAAATCAATTTTTACGCAATGAATAAATWAACTTAATAACAGAATTTTGAACAATATAACAACATAATGACAAAAAAATTTWAAAAAAAAATACAAATTCATCAATTATCAAACTAACATAAGTTTTTGTTTTATCTCCATATTTTATCATAGGTAATTTCACAACAATGTTTCATAAGTGTTAAATTGTTTTAAATAAACTAACATAATTTATCAATACATGCCTAGGTATATCACTTACAGATAAACTAAAATAAATACATAGTTAGTAGTTTTTGAAGAAAATAAAGTAAACATACAATTACAATATCATCAGAAGATATATTTCATAGCCAATAATGTATTTTAGTTTGATAGTATAGGTTAAAATTGAAGCTTTAGCCTATAGTTTAAAGGATAAATTGTTATTAATATTGATTGAACGGTAACAAGAGTTTAAATTAAATATACTTCTTTAGTCATATTTATAGGTACATATAAATCTGTTACAACCACGGTAGATGTATGGTGAGCAACTTTTCTCATTGATATTTAGTACTCATAAATATATGAGAAAAGTAAAAGAAAATTGAATTAATTACTTGTTTAGATATCAAAAATTTACTTAACTAATRGGTATATTAATGAAAATTAAGTACAAAATAAGATTAAATACAAAAAATATATTTATACACAAAAATTGTTTTTTAAATTATTGTGTGTCAAGAAATTTTCTCAATAAAGTATACATTACTACCTATTGATGACTATATTAATTCAGCAAAAAATTGCAACTTACAATACTTCTTATCATCCATAATTTAATTTAAAGGAAAAAACAACAAATTTTTGTTTGAAGATTATTCAACATTATATAATTTAAAATTATGCATATTAAACATAACAATGATAACTTGGTTTTAATTAGAACTAAATCATCTATTAAATGGATTCCACTAGATAAAATGAAAAGAAAATGATAAGAAAATCAAGTTTTAAAATTGTTTCATGCTTTCTATTTACTTCCTTAAGATCTTAGGATATTTGATAACTTATGAGAAAGTAAAATCATAACAAACTAGTGTTCTTAAAAATTAATTAATACTAATAAATGAAACATGATGAATGCAAACTATTAAGTAATACAATAATCATGGGATTCGGATTACTCATCCCAGTATAATAAATGTATTAGTATTAAAGGTAAATACTAAAAATATASATCAATAAAATAAAATTTAGGTAATGCATTTGAATCAGATTTAAAGACATTAATATGTTAAAGAAAAATCATATCCAATGCTCTATGTTTTATTTGGTAATTAGAACTTTTTTTTACGACACCTAGCAATTTCAGACTAATATAACTTTAACAAGCAAAAAATAAGATCCTAATCATAAATATTAATTGAGGAAGATTTGTACAGCCTACTAGCGTAATCCACAGTATTTGTTTATATTAATTAATTCCTTAGACGATAGAACAAAAATCGGAATTTAGTTCAAGACCTACATTTACATAATAGGTGTGCTAGTCAAACCCGGAAGGTCTAGGGCATTGACTCACCAGTTATGGAYTAAATAATGAAGTAACTGAATAAACATGGTGCAGTCATACAAATTTTACCTGTTATTCAGCAAATATGTATCATAATTCGTGTTTCGCGGATCGCAGATAAAAACAAAAACACTAACAACTACGTTTTATATACTCAGACTAGTCAGACTCAATGATCGTGATGACAGACTGCCATTTTGATACTTTATGTTCATAACAATGAACATTGGAACGAAATTGATATTAAAAAAAAAAAAAATAGAATTATTTAACAAACAGACGTCAGCAACGTTTTAAATTTGATAACTATGATAACGTTCACCCAATGACAGTTAAATACTAGTATCATTTAAATCACAGATGATAACTCTATTCTGAGATCAATTCTGTCGTAGAAATTAGAAAATTCAAAACATAGAATGTTTCGTATTTACTAAGTAGACAAGTAGTAAGTACTTACCTTAGTTACTTTAGTTTACTTATTTTACTATCTTAGTCTGAGGCCGTGGTCCGTGCGTTGTATTCTTGTCTATGAGTTAAATTACCTATTCAAATATTATTAAATATTTCATTTTTTACATTTTAGCATTRCATTAGTAATTTATTAATCATTATACTATCTATTTATATAAATAAGTAAATGAATTTTAAACAAATAATTGTTTCTGGATTCATTGCATTCTCTACATAGTTATTTTAAAAAATCTTGTTAAAATGTTTCAAATTACAAGACGCAGTGCAAAATTATTTAGTACAAATTTAGTAAGTGAAATATACATAACTAATTTATTATTACCACTGACGAACAAATCATTAACAATTTCTAAACTATATTTATATTTTTAATTGTATAGAATGCTTTAAGAAAATATGCAGATAATGTTTCAACTCTAAAAGGCGGCGAAAATATTTTGTATTCGTCATTACAAAAAAAATTTCCACAAGCCAAAGAAATTAAAATCAAAGATATTTCTGGTAATTATATAACATTATGTTAAATCTGAAACATGAATTTTGCATCACTATTTTTTTGTGATTTATTCTTTAAAATCAAAAATTAATATAAGATTTTTTAGCTTGAATTGGATTTTTTTCCACAGTCAACATTTGTATAGAATCACAATTTAATTTTTACCCACTATATTATTAATAATTTTAYTGATTGTTCAGTACTGCAAAGTGTTATTATTGTTCTCTTTTTATAGTCAGTATTTATATATATATATAGTATATATAGTAATTTCTAATATCTAAAACTAACTGCAAATACAAATTTTTATAGCCATACAGGAACTGTAAAGAAAATCTTAACATCAATATTCAGTTTTTCAGTATGCTAAGCTTATGACTTATGAGATACCATAGTTAAACCAACTCTCTGTAATCATACTATTTACACCACCAGAAGAAAAATTCTGGCTACGCCACTGGCTTTTGTTATTATTAATTATATATTTTTTTAATGACTTAAGTTAATATTATGTGATACATAATTTTAGCATCAACATTGGTATGAGAAATTCAAAGAAGATTAATACAAATTATCATTTTTCAATAATTTGTACTAATTTTTTATTTTCTTCAAAAAATGCTTATTGCCTAATATTAATGTTTTAGATTCTGAGCGGAGCGATGAATGTATTGATTTTACCAGGATGTGTGTTTTTTTTTGTGTCTGTCATCACGTTTTGGGGCAGTAAAAATGCTTCGATTTTTGACTTCAGTACCTCGTTCGATCAGAAAGTGAATCTAGTTGGTACTTTGGGGGGTCAAAAGTAAACAATTCTTAATACTTTTCTAAATAAT